GAGTCTCAGAATTAATTGTATCACTCAGTACGTGTTGAGCCTCTTCTAAAGTAAAATGAGATAGACAAGGACCTCACTACGGGGAGCGTGCATTCTGGTTAGAGAGACAGGCAGTAGACAGGTTTGCGTATAATAATAATGTCGAGTAGTGGTGAGTGTGATAAAAAACATAAAGCAGGACTAAGAGAGAGAGAAAATTATGTGGGACAGGTTGAGAGTGCATTTAGGGTGATTGAGGAAGGCCTCTGAGGACGTGCCATTAGAGCTGAAATCTGCATGAAGTGAGGGAGCCACTTTCTGGAAAGGCATTGAAGACAGAGGGAACAGCAAGGAGAGAGTCTGGGACCCAGGACATTCCTTAGTATGATCCTAGACCAAAGTGAGGCCAGTATGGCTGGAGTGTAGTAAGCCAAGGGTCAGAGGGATATGAGCTGAGGTTGAGAGCTCTGTAGGCCAAGGTAAGATCATTTGTTGGATACTGTGAGAATGTCTTTATGCTCATTGTGATAGCAGCTGCTATGATTACTTGTTTAGTCAATTTTTCCTTAAGGTTTCCCTCTCAAATTTATTCACCCTGTAGGCTGTGTCAGGCCAGGCTGGGTTGATGTATATGGTCATGCCATCTTTTTTTGTCTGGAGTTGAACATGTTTAATTTGTGGAAGGGTTGGGCCCACTTAGAATGAGTGAGTAGAATGAAAACTTCCCTTTACCTTGACAGGTAAACATTGCCACATTCAGAGAAGGTTTTCAGATGGCGTCCGCGTCTTCTGAGTGGGGCGCACCTCAGGAAGCAGTGTCAGAATGTCCCTCCTAGTTCTCTTTTGGAGAAAAGCCGTGAGGAGTGGCATTTGCTCAAGATCCTCCTGCTCTTGAGTAAAACACCTGAGACTCGAATCCATGCTCTTTCCAGTCCATCGTGTTATATCGGGCAACAGGAGAGCTTCTGTTTCGGGCTCTGTTAGGAATTCATAGTTTTAACGTAGGGGTAAAGCCAGGCTTTGGTTTCTTTATTTTTGAAATTATAGGATTTTGGTTCTCTCTGTGGTCTTCCAACTCCAAACTTCTGTGATTTTAATAGAATTTAGGTTTATGCTCTCCCACCCTCCCACCCCTGCCAGTCAAGGGTCCCAGATATCACTGAGTATTCTTTTTTCCCCATTAGGATCTGTCTTCCTCTTTGTTCTTTGCCATGGGCCATAGCTGATGGCTGAATTTCCATTTGAAGGTCTCTGTTCCATGGTCAACTCTTGTAACCAGTGGCAGTGCTGTCGACTCTCCGTGACATGCAGGGGGTCTTTATCAAAGCGGGTTACCTGACTTCATGCTCTTGCGGCTCTTTGAAAAGCTCCTGCATTTGAGCCAGATACCTAAGTTGATAAGAACAGCAGGTACCTACCTGGAAGGCTGTGTTTCAAGGTCCGATGAAGGAGGTCATGGGCCTTCACTCACCCCTTCCCAGAGAGGTGCCTGGCTCAGGGCAAATCCACTGTTGTCAGTGGTAAAAATAGCAAGCAGGCGTGCCTCCAGGGAAGCATGGGTCCTTAATGGACCTTCACACATGAGAGGTAGCCAATTCGCATTTAATTACAACTCGTTTTGGGTACCATTGTGCACCCTGGCCCCTCCTGCATGTTTTCATAATGTGTATATGATAATAAGCATTACTATTCAGTGTGTGGAAAATATGAAAATTGAAAATGGATGGTAGATTCATTAAATTGCAAATGAATACATTATCAGTGGGCACTTGGTTCCAAGCACTAGCCTGGTTACTGCTGCTGTGATTTTAGTATAATAAGTATGGGGGGCAAAGAATACAAGCCTGCAGGTACTGGTACGAGTAAGTGCTTTGCTCCTTTCTTTTTCTTCCCTCTTCTTCCACATATCTCCCCCTCTCTTCCTTCTTCCCTTCTCATTTTTATTCCTCCTCCTCTCTCTTCCTTTGAATTGAAGAAAAGCCAAGCCAGAAAACTATTTTGATAGTGGCCAAGCCCCTTAAAGCTCCAGCTGGCTGACAGGAGGAGGTGCAGCAGCTCCCGGGTCTGCGGTGTGGCTTTGCTAGAGAGTGGTGAGCTCCCTCCATCCTCCTGCATCCTTTCTCACACAGAGCGCCCTGGGGGATCTGCAACACAGTGGGGAGTGGGGAGGCCTGGACCACACCCTCCTGCTTTGTCCCCTCCCGGGTTCCTGTCTGCTGCTTCTCAGAGTGTTTCAGTGTCTAAATGGATGGAAGGTGGAGCTAGCAGGGCATGGCACTCGGCCTGCTTCACACAGTATTTCCCATTCAGTAAAGAGAGCCTGTCCACTTTTCTGGTGGCCTCAGTCCTTTTGCCTTGGAGTGAGGGGCAGATAGAGGAGAGAAATGCAGTTGTGTTCCACCTTCTTTCATGGTGACTAGCCTGCACTGTTTCAGGCATTAATTAAGGGCAACACCCGTTGTCTTGCCCCATGGACCTTATAAGTAGTGGGAAGATGTCCATGCTGGCAGTAAAGTAATTTTGTTCATTTTATAATGTTTTCGTTTTTATTTTCATCCATTTCCTAGTCTTAACATAGGATCTCAACATAAGGATTTTATTGGGATGCTGGGTAAATTTTGCCTCAGAAATCATTAGGATGAAGTATTCAGCATATGATATTCGTATTTCTGAGACAAACTTAGAAACATATAGTGTAACAAAGGATTTTTATCCCAGGTACGTCCACCTGCAGGTCACGTTTTCTCTAAGGGGATTGTAGTCCTGCATTGCTGAGGGCTGTGGTTTTATAAAAGGTAGGTCCAGATATATAGTTTTGGATACCTTGTATGTTGATTGACATTTGGTGGCTCTTAAAGGGTTTGAAAATGCCAGAACAGAACAGTTGGAGGGTTGGAGAGACCAGAAAAACCTAGAAATAATAGAGCCATGATAGAGCTGGGTTGTGCTAGAAGTATCTGCTGAGGTTGGCAGTGGAATTGCGAGTCTAGTGGGCCCAAGTCAACTGTATGGCTGTCTTCAGTCAGGCAGGGAAAATCATTTTGGGGTCCTCTTTCAATAATTTCCAAACATTAGAGGTATGAAATAGGATATAAATGGAAAGAATTCTTCATGGTGTTGAGAATATTTTCCCCCTGATTGGGCTTCTCTCTTATTCTCACTCTTCTCTGTCTTAATTTTAGTAGGTAGTTTTATCGTCATTTTACTAAGGGTATTCATTCCATTTTGACACATCACACAGATTCTCTCCAGGGATTACAAGGGCAGCAGTAGTGGCCTGATGGTGGCTTGTCAGTGATGTCACTGGCTTCAACCAAACAGGAAAGGCCTGTTCAGAGTTTGTGTTGGAAGCATCAAGAATACTGTTTGCATGGCTTTGATGCCCAACAGCAGTGGTTTCAGGAAGCTTGAGTTACACCAAGTCATGGTTTGTATTCAGCTCAGTGTCTTAACCTTAGCAACATGAACACTCCCCTGTCTTAATCTAAGTTCTGCTTAAGGATTGGGGGCTGAGTTAGATGGTTTCAAAACATTCCTTCCAAATCATAGAAATCTATGGGTTTATGATTTGTAGTGAGACCCAAAAATGACTGCCTTATTTGGGAGGTAGAAAGTAAGGTGTGAAATCCTTTGGAGGCAAAGCGTGATTCCTCTAGTAATAATTGGCAGCCTCCAGCACACATTTGCTCCTATTTGAATTTTGACTCTTTGGGAAAAGGAATAGTATGATCTTGGCCATTTAGGCAAAGAGGTGGAGGTGGAGGGAGAAGAGAGTGGGGAACAGACTAATTTAAATTTCGGGTAGCATGGTAGGCAGAGCCAGTTGTGTTTGAGTTGCTGTGTTTTCTACACGATTATGTTTCAGGAATCGGGGATGGACACCTGGTACTCAAAGAATAACACACAATTTAATTCACTATAATTATATATAACTAGCTGAACCTGGGAGTCAACTTCTGGAATTTGTGGGCATTAAATAAACACCAAATATTAAATTACTTGGTTTGGTGTTGGGGGAGTGGCTGGCTCATTCAGTTTTTCTGAATTTCCTGTTCTTAATATCCTTGGCTTCAAGATTTCATTGGTAAAAAGTTAAATATTCCTTTTTTTCTTTGCACCATGTCACTAGAACTTAAGGTTTTTTGCTTCCTTTTTCATTTTGCCCCGCTCGTGTTTCTCCTTTTCACCCTTTGGAATTGATGTTAATTCTTAAAAGAAAAACCACTTTTCTTATTTCTTATAGATATATGAGAGAGAGTAAAAAATAGAAAATCTTTTTATAAAGCTGACCTTAATCTGCAGATGTTGTAATCTATCTATTTCATGTAACCTCTCTTTCTTCTGTTAGTTATTTTACTTTGCTAAAATATTTTTTATTTGATTAGGAAAAGAAAACAAAAATCTATGTTCAAATGGTAACAGCTATAGAATCCATGAAAGGGAAGATAAATGAAAATTATAATTTCCAAAACTGGTTAATATGAAGAAATTATACTTTTTCATTGCTTAGTATTTGTAGTTCTGCAAACACAGTGTGGGTTGAGGGCAGAACATGCAGTATGGTGGAGGGAGTAGCGTGGCAAATCCTCTCCATAAAAAGCAATGAGAAAACTGGATAAACATGTCAAATATAACCATTTCAGGGCTTTGGAAATTGACAAAAGGCATACAGCAGTTGAGAAGTGATTACTCATGAAAAACTCATCCTTTGTGTAAGAACAATGGGAGTAGATAGCCTTTTACTTGGAGGTGCTGCCATTCTCTACCCCAGCACATCAGGGCAGGGCAATCTGAGAAAACCAGCAACTTCACTGATAGAGAGAGGGTTGACTTGATTTGGAACAGAACGCAGAAAAATTCCATGTCCAGTCAGTAACGGTAGTGATCTTGGCAAGTGAATGAGAATGCCACTGGCTCAGCTAGATTGAGGTTGTCTTCTGGTTTGTGGCAAGCAGTGAACCAGAAGACTAGCCAGATATTTACTATGGAGATCTGGGAAGTAAGACAGTTATAAGGAGCTTTTATAAGATCTTCACAAATCTGCTCAGGAGAAACCAGAGAGGGCCTAAGCTGTCTTCTCATCCTTAGCTGACCATGAACCTGTGTGCACATATAGAGGAAACACAAAAGGGCACACCAGAAAATAAAAGGCTGGATAGATTTAAATGCTGCTTAATATTGAATGTGCTACCAAAAGACCAATCTCTAACCAATTATTGCCTGACTACTAAGCTGTGTGGACACAGGGGTGATCCCTAAAAACAAGAATAAAAAAAACCTAAGGAGAGACATCAACAGCCAAATACCTTGGAGGAAACTGATTCTACAGATTTAGCCTGGGCAAATTGCTACACAAACCAAATAATAGTAACAATAATTCTCTGTCCCTCCCAACCCCCCCCCCCCCCAAGATTCAGGAAGAATCAGAATCCAGAGCAGCTGTAATACATAGCCAAAATATCTAATTTCAGCAAAAAATTGAGACTTGCAAAGAAACAGGAAGTGATCCATACTTAGGGGGGAAACTGCCTGTGAGTGGCCCCAGATCTTGAAATTAGCAAAGACTTCAGCTATTAGAAAAACTAAAGGAAATCATGTTTTAACAACTAAAGGAAAGTATAATGACAATGACCCATCAACTAGAGAAACGCCACAAGGGGAGAAACTATAAAAAAGAACCAAATGGAAATTCTGGAGTTCAAAAGTAAAATAACTGAAAAATGAAAAAGTCACCAAAGGGACTCATGACAATATTTGAGATGTCAAAAGAAGTAATTAGTGGACCTGAAAATAGATAGAAATTATTCAATCTGAAGAACAGAATATAAAAAGAATGATGTAAAATAAAGTGTCAGAGACCTGTGTGAATTCAAACATACACATGTAATAGGGGCCCCAGAAGAACAAGAGAGAGAAAAAGGGAGCAGAGAAAACATTTGAAGAAATAATGGCTGAACACTTCCTAACTTTGATAAAGATCATTAATCTACTGACCAAGATACTCAATGAGCCCAAAGCAGTATAAACACAAAGAAATTTACACACAGACACATCATAGTCCAAGTGTTGAAAGACAAAGAGAAAATTTTCAAAGCAATAAGAGAAGAACAATTCATCACATCAGAAACCCTGGTGGCTAGAAGACAGTGTTATGCAAAGTGCTGAGAGAGAAAAACTAGCAGTTAATTCTCTTTCCAGCAAAACTATCCTTTGACTGTGAAGGCAAAATGAAGACCTCCCCAGGCAAATGAAGACTTGGAGAATTTGTTGCTAAGTAGACCTGCCTTACTAGAAAACTAAAGGATGTCCCTTATGCTAAAAGGAAATGACACAGATGGTAACTTGAATCCGTACAAAGAAATGAAGAACACCAGAGAACTAAACATGAAAGATTTGTAGATAGATATAGGTACGTTTTTTCTTTTCTGAACTTCTTTAAGATTCTATAAAAAATAATTATATTATTGTTGGGTTTATAACATATATTAATGTGACTTATAAGTTTAAACCCTTTTATTAAAAAAGAAGAAAGCTTCCAATCAATAACTTAGACCTCTAAAATAAGAAACAAGAAAAAGAAGAGCAAAGTAAACCCAAAGCAAGCAGGAGCCAGGAAATAATAAGATTAGGGTGGAAGTCAGTGAAATAGAAATCAAAACAATAGAGGAAATCAGTGAAACCAAAGTTGATTCTTTGAAGAGATCAGTAAAATTGACAAATCCTTAGTTAGACTGATGAAAAAGAAAAGAGATATAAATTACCAAATCATGAATGGAAAAGGAAACATCACTAATGACCTTACAGAAATTAAAAAGATTATAAGGGAATACTATGAATAAGTTTATGCCGTCATATCAGACAATTTTGATGAAATAGGTGAATTCTTAGAATGACACAAATAATTGATACTGACACAAAATCATTTGGCTAGCTCAATAACAAATAAATTAGTAATTAAAATTCTACCCACAAAGAAAAGTCCAGGCTCTTATGACTTCACTGGTGAGTTCTACCAAATATTTAAAGAGGATTTAAATAATATCCATCCTTCATAAACTGTTCCATAAAATATAGTAGGAGGGGCAATCCTTTCAGCACCTTCTTTGAGTCCAGTGTTACCTGAATACCAAAGCTTAGATGAAGACATCACAGATAAATCAACTGTAGACCACGGACTCCTGTGAACACAAACACAACAATTCTTACAATATTAAGAACCTGAATCCAGCTACATATAAAAAGGATTATATATCATGACTAATTGAAATTTATCCCAGGAATGCAAGGTTGGTTTGACATTCAGAAATTATTAATATAGTGTGCCATATTAATAGGACAAAGATCAGAAATCACATATCATCTTAATAGATGCAGAAAAGCATTTGAGAAAATCCGACATTGACTCATGAAAAAAATTCTCAACAAACTAGGAAAAATCTGATAGGTAATATCACACTTAGAGAAGAACCTAATGCTTTTGCATTCAGTTCTCTGATTTTCCACTCTTGCCACTTCTATTTAGCAGTATATTGTTAACTGTTGAAGCTAAGTGATGGATAGTAGGGGTTCATTATATCATTCTTTCTACTGTTGAGTATGTTTCAAATTTTTTCTAAAAAAAAGAATTTTATTAAAAATAACCTAGGTTATTAAAAAAACTACCAAGTCCTTAAGTCTGTTGTGTTTTCTGTTTAGCCAAATTAAGATTATGTAAGCAATTGTTTTCTTTTAGAGTATGAATGTGTATGTCTTTATGTGTTAATGTTGAATCGTTCGTATAAATAATGTAATTGAAAATTGAGAGTTAGAACATTATTTCCATTCATAGTAAGTCATGTCAGTTATTTTTTTTTCCAGCCCTGAGAATGATCAGAGAATTGGAGGAGCTATTTATACAGAGAACTGGAACTGGGCATCATGCAAATCAAATTCTGTTGTAACAAATCTTTGTTTATCAAATTTAATATCAACCAAATACAGTTCTGAGTTTCTAGATGTTGGAAGCTGTTTTCAATATGATATAAATTCAGGACCACAGATGAGTTTAGGTGGTCCCTTGAGGTCTCTTGATTGTTATCAGAAGTATACCAAAGAACTGAATCTGGGCTAGGAATCCGGGAAGGGTAGGTAGTTTTTCCTCCTGGTGATGGTGGTTGAGTGTGTGTGTGTGGGTATGGGCTTTTTGTGTTTGGTTGGTAGGGGCCATGTGTTGGAACTGGGGGCTGGTTGGTTGTAATGTGTAAAAGCTGAGATGATTCCAATGCAACAAGTATAAATGTTAAGAGTCTAGCTTCTCTCTGAATGAGGAAGGCAAAAGAATGGAAGAAGAAGAAAGTGACATTTAAAAAATGATTCTTTTCCTTTCCTCTGAAAAAGAGATGTCGTCATTTGAGAAAATATTTTTACCTAGGTCTTTCTGACAGCGCTTTTCCATCTTGCCCAGAAACACATGAGCTTGTCATTTCTTCTCTCCTGGGTCGTATCTGACCTTTCCAAGTACCAGCACCACCATCACCATCTTTAAATCGTAAAAACTGTATCGATTGTATTAGCTATTCTTGTTCTGGGGAATACAAAAGATGGCTGATACATGGTCACTGACCTTGTGGAAGTTAGTCTTGTTGACTTTGCAATATTTTTAGGTTATGCTCTTGGTTGCACACATAAACACACCCCAGTTAGAGGACAAAGTGAATGCAAGACCGAGTTCTAGATTGTGTGGTACAGATTAAAGTTTTTATAGAAGTTCACAGGCAGCCTGAAAGTGTCTGTTTGAGCTGAAGTATACTCTTGCAAAGTTTCACAGATAAGGCAGGGTTTGAGCAGGCTGTGTAGGATTTTGAAAGTACTTGCATGACCTTCATTAAGTTGAATAAATGGAAACAAGATTTATACTTAAGGTTTTGTAGCTCTTTGATTTTGTTTTGTTTTTTTAAATGGAGTGTATCTGCATCGGGATCTTCTTCATTTCACCAAGGTGAACTTCAAGTGTTGGTAAGGTTATTTGCCCCTGCTCTTCGGATTCCCTAGTGGTAGGGCCAAGTCCAACAGGAGGAATACCTAAAAGAACTCAGGAATTCTCTCCCTTTTTAGTCTAGTGTTTAGGTAATATTTAGAGAAATATCTAATATTTATCCCCTCTCTCATCTTTTATTCCTCAAGAACTTCATATTGGGTATGTAGAGGCTCCATCTAAAAAAAGAAAGTTTCTGGGGCTGGCCCCATGACCGAGTGGTTAAGTTCGCGCGCTCCGCTGCAGGAGGCCCAGTGTTTCGTTGGTTCGAATCCTGGGCGCAGACATGGCACTGCTCATCAAACCATGCTGAGGTGGCGTCCCACATGCCACAACTAGAAGGACCCACAACGAAGAATATACAACTATGTGCCAGGGGGCTTTGGGGAGAAAAAGGAAAAAAATAAAATCTTTAAAAAGAAGAAAAAGAAAATTTCCACTTCAGATTGTCTGCCTTTAATTCCATACTCAGTGTCCAAACGCTGCCTTGGGCAGCATTCCCTTCCTGTAGCAAATACCCCTGGAACACATAAACATTCCTTCGTCCCAACAGGCACCTGCCTGGCTTTCCCTCGTACTGAACTTATATGGAATTCTGGGACTACCTCTAAGCTCATAGCATACAATTTTGTCCCTTTAGTTATGGAAATCATTAGTGATTCCTCTTTGATGTGCAGTTCTGTAGTAGAGGTTACTATTAAATTAGTTTCTGTGTTTTACTGAACAGAGTGGAAGTAAATGAGATTAATTCCTTGCAGTATTGGTTGTTCATTGTAGCTTTTGCAAGAATCAACCATTCTCTACCCTTTGGTTGGTTACCTCTGCATGATGCTGAAAAAAAAAAAATCCTAACTATTCCTTTTATGTCCCTCACTTAGACATCTTCCCTTTTCCCGGACATATTTAGGAGGTTGGTTTGAGACACAAAAAGCCACGTGCAACAAATAGGCTCAGAAACCAGCGTTGTGTATTGTAAATTGAAGTTGAATGGTTTTTGTCAAAGGCTGCAAACAGGAGTGAACTCACAGCCTTTCTTCTGTTCAGTTTCCTGTGGCTGATCATTTCCCGGGACTGCTGACTCTTTCTGCACAGATGCAGTTACATTTTAGAGTGAAGGCTGTTATTTAAACCTCTCTTCAGCTTCGGTCCGAGCACTATAAATACACAATTAACTAGTCTGCTCCAAATAAGGGACACCTAGCTGCAGAAAGTGACCGAGAAAAACATTTTACCAACAGATTATGCTTAACTCCGAGATTGTACTTTCTGGAATAAAGATTAAACGTCCGTTCTCTCTGTGCTTTGGTAACCAACTTAAACAGAGGGATGCCCTAGCATGGTCAGCCCACAGCAAAACGTGTAATATTGGAGGCCAGTGACGGTACTGTTACTTGAGGTGCTTTAAAATACGGATGAGCTCATTGGAGATTGTCTTTCCTCGGAAGGTGGTTGGCAGAGGGTTAATAAATGGAGATGAGCAGAGGAAAATAATAATGTTCTTCGTCTGTGTTCATAAGTCATATAGAAAGCATACATTTTTAAAGCAACTTAGCTTAATTTTTATGTGAGAGCAAAATTACACATAATGTGAGGCACAGATCTTAAGTGTACCATTTGATGAGTTTTGATAAATGTGTACATCCATAAAACCAGCACTGCAGGCAAGATACAGAACATCTTCATCACCCAGAATCTTCCCTCCCGCCTCCTCCTGTTCAATCTCCATCCCCCATGGGCAGTCACTGTTCTGATTTCTATCACCATAGATTAATTTTGCCTGTTCTTGAGCTTCGTAAAAATGAAATGATACAGTATAAACATTTTTTGTGTTTTCTGGCGTCTTTCTCCCAGCATAATATTTTTGAGATTCATCCAGGGTGTTGCTTATATCAGTAGTTGGTTCTTTTTCTTTTTTTAAATCACAGAATACTATTCTGTTTTATGAATATAGCATAATTGATTTATCTCTTTTCCTGATAGAATGGACATGTGAGTCATTTCCAGTTTTGGACTATTATGAATAATCCTGCCAGAAACACATAAGCCTGTAATTTCTTCTAAATGGTAGACTATCTTGCCATAAATTGTTCATAGTATTCTCATATTCTTTTAATATCTATAGAATGTGTAATGACATTCTATTTCAATTCCTAATATTACTCATTTATTTTTTCTTTTTCTTGATCACTCTTGCTAGGGGCTTATAAATTTTATTCATCTTTTCAAAGAACCAACTTTGGCTTTGTTAAATTGTTCCTCAGTCAGGAGTAAATCAGAGAAGCAGAAACACTAGAAGGGGATGTGGGTGTGTGTATGTGTGCATGTGTATATATTAAGGGATTTGTTAAAGGGCTTTCAGCTTACACAGTTGTGGAAGCTGGTTAAACAGTATCTATAAGGCTATTGTCTTTGTGTCTGATACTGGAGCTAGAAATCCATAGGTCAGGCAGCCAGGAAGGGAAGATAAATATTAAGCGGAAGAGAGTAAGAACATGCAGGAACTCACAAGTGTGAGCTGGAGTCCATGATGACAAGGTGACACCCATGTCTTTTTTTTTTGCTTCTGGCTTTGGGATGTAGCTGTCCTATAGAAGGTGGTGCCCTCTGTCTTGAAATAAAAGAGACTTGAGAGGAAGCAAATCATACTACTCCACCTATGAGATACAAAAAAAATTCTGTAAGTAGTAAGACCAACCACAGGACTGTAGAGAACAAGGGTTGACAAGCTTTTTCTAGAAAGCACCAGATAGTAAATATTTTAGCTTTGAAGACCATCCTGTCCCCATTGCAGCTATTTAACTCTGCCATTGTAGTGCAAAAGCGGCCGTAGACAATATGTAAATGAATGCATGAGTGTATTTCAGTAAAGCTTTGTAAAACTAAGCGGTGGACTACATTTGACCTATAAGCTGTGGTTTGCCATCTCCTGTCCTAGAGATTTCAGTGTATCTTCTCAATTTACCACAGTCCCCTTAGAGTTAATGTCATAAACAATGTTTAATTCCATTAATCCCCCATCTTTTGTACTATTGTTAGATATCTTACATCTACAAATGTTTTAAAGCCCACTATACCCTAATATGATTCTTGCATCGGATAGTCAATTGATAAGGAAATTAAAGGAAAGAAAAAAATAATCTTTTGTATTTACCCACATTAAAGTTTCTGAGGCTTTCATTCCTTTCTGTAGTTCCAAGTTTCTGTCTGTCGTCATTTCCCTCTCAACACAAAGAATTTCTTTTGTTTATTTTTTGCCATGCAGGTCTGCTGGTGGTGAATTCTTTCGTCATTCATTTATCTGAAAATGGCTTTTTTTGGCCAGCATTTTTCAAGGACAAAGGTATAGAATTGGTTGAGAATTCTGGGTTGACTCTAGTTTTCTTTCAGAACTTTAGAAATGTTATTTCTTTGTTATCTAGCCTCCATCTCTTTTTCTGATGAGAAGCTGGATGATATTTCTATCTTTGTACCATTTTATGTAGTATGTCTCATGTTTCTCTGGCTGCTTTCGACGTTTTCTCTTTATCTTTGGCTTTTAGCAGTTTGATTACCGTAAATGTAATTGTCTCTGTTTATTTTGCTTGTGGTTCACTGAGATATTGGATCTGAAGTTAATGGTTTTCACCAAATTTGGAAAGTTTTTGACCATTATTTCTTCAAGTATTTTTCTTCCCCATTTGCTCTCTTTTCTACTTCTGGGTATCCATTTACACAGAGTTTAGCCTACATGATATTGTCCCACAGGTCACTGAGGCTCTGCTCTTTTTTCTCCCCAATCTTTATTGTCTTTGTTTTTTAGATTGAATAATTTCCATTTTACCAAGTTCACTGATCCTTTCTTTTGCTACCTCCAAACTGTTCTTCATTCCATTCTGTTTTTTGTTTTTTTTTTTCATTTTAGGTGATATACTTTTCAGTTCTGGAATTTCCCAAGTGTTCATTTCTTCTTCTTTGTCTTTAGTCATATTTATAATGTAGAGGAGGAAGACATTTCCTCTACCCTCTCTGGGTTCTTCTGTCCGGAGAACGAATTAAATTCACATGAGACAGAATAGCAGGAGAAAATTAAACAAAGCTTTATAACATGTATACATGGGAGAGGCTCACGCAAGCTGAGCAACTCACCAAAATGGCTGAAGCCCCCACCTTAAATATCATATCCAGCTAAAGACAAAGGAGGATGTTGGGAGTGGGGGGAGTCAGTTACAGGAGGTTACCAGATAAGCACAATAAACAGGAATAAGATTATTATGCAGATTTAAGTCCTTGCATTCTGTATTGATAGGAGTTTTTAGAGATAAGGTCATCCCCCCTTCTTGCTGGTAGAGAGGGAGATGTCTTTACAGATGGAGATTTCCTTTACAGTATAAATGTCTCCTAACAAAGGGCAAGCAAGTTCCACTCCTCAGAGCCCCCTTCCTGTCTGCAGTTTATTAAAAGTAACTAGCCCCAAATAATCCCCATGCCAAAGAGACATATCTTGGGGTGGCCAATGCCAGTCCCCCACAATAATAGCTGCTTTAAATTCTTTGTCAGTTCTGACATTTACATCTTCTTGGGATATGTGTTTTTGTTAACTGCTTTCTTGACTTTTCACATTTTCCTTTTTCTCCATCTCTAGTAATTTTTTATTGTATACTGGGCATTATGACAATATGTTGTACTGTCTGTGTTCCGTTATCCTTCTCTGAAGAGTATTGAGTTTTGTTTTAGCAGGCAGTTAAATTACTGATTTACCACCTTGAACTTTCCAAGACTTGATTTTATGGTTTGTTGGGTTTGTCTGTTTCAGTTTTTGCCTTTGTCTTAGGAAGTCTTAAGTCCTGGGGCTGATGCAATGCCTTTGTGGGATTTTAATGGAAAGCCTGAAATGTTAACCAAACCCTCTGGCTTGTTGGGATTCAAACTCTGAGTCACTTGTTGTGAACAAATGCTGAACCTCGGAACATCTTTAGAGTTTTCCTTGGAGTCTCCCGTACAATTCTTAGTTATGTGATCACTCAAGGATTTTAAAGTAGTTTATATGCAGATTTGGAGGCTCCCCTTCTTTGGTTCCCTGTTTTGGGGCATATCCTGTCTCATTTACTAGCCACCCTGATTGCTCAAACTTAATCCTTTGACTGTAGCCTTTTGCTAGCCTTCTAGTTACCTCCCATCACCCAGATAGAGTGGTCCCCTCAGGGGCAAAGCCATATAAATGTGCAGTTCCCTTCTTTTAAGGATCAAATCTCCTCTAGTGTCTGTTCCTTTTCCTTCCTTTTCGTTGCCTTGTTATATGTATTATCTGTGGGAAGGTTATTCCAATATAAGCTTCTCTGCCATTGCCAGTGTATAATTCCTCAGCTCTGTCTTATAAAGAATCCAGAATTAAATTAATCACATAGTTCTTGCACAAGTGATGCAGTTTAGCAGTCCCCCCTGGCCAACAAACAATCTAGATTATTTCTTAACACAGCTCTGACTTTCTCCTGCCTTTCTGTATGTATGCCAGGTCTTTGTTGCTTTCCATACAATAACCACCATTGCTAGGTTGGCAAGGAGAGTGTTTTGAATGCTGGCTCTCCCTTTGCTCAGGACAGCATGGCTGGAGAGTGAGTGAGTGAGTGTGATTTGTTCTGGATACTGCATGGTGGAACGAGTCTTCTGGTGGAGACCTTCAGGTAGTAATCCCACCACTAGAGGATCAGAGCCCTCCAAGAACTGACCCAAAAACCAAATTCCAATCTGGGAATAGATTTCCTGAAACACAAATTCCCAGGGATTTGAAAACCTTTGTGTTTCGTACTAGAGAGAATTTGTATTTGCATATTTACTAGCCTTTTCTACTGAGTAGATGAATAGCATTCCAGGGTAGCATGTAACACTTAAGAACATGCACTTTAGTCTCTCAGCTTCACAAGCTGAGTCTCATTGTCCAAATGTACATCGTCTTAACACTGGGCATGTTTCCTTTCCACAGGAAGAAAAACCTGCTGGGGGCAAGGAGAGATGAAAGGAACTAAGTTATAAGACAGCCTGGTTTTGGAGAGACATCCCTAGCCAAGGACGTATCTAGCAGGCATAGCCTGTATGTTTTGTGTCACTGGACTTGTAGATTTCATGAAACTCTGAGTGAATCAAATGAGACCTAAAAATGAAGTGGCTCTCAGCCTTTCTTCAGACCTGTACCCAAGGACTTGATGTACTTGTGGGTGTTCTCAATATTCTAGGCCTTCAGCTTCGTTTTTGTTCTCTCTGCTTTTTCTGGTACCAAAAACTTATTATCAAGGTGTCATCTTAATTCTAAATTAACGTATAATTTATTTTTCTGTGCTAAAAAGGAGGAGCGAGACTATAACCAAGCAACCAAAGCAAAGTGAAAAACTCAATTCATGTGAGAGAATGAAAATAAAAATTTATCTTGATCTCCTATTAAAAGAATAGTCAAAGTACTTCCTCGTTGCCCATAGATGTCTGAGTGGCCAATTAGAAGCCCTGTCTTTTAGCAACAGCTGCACAAAGGCTTGTGACAAGTGATTCAGAAAAGGGGCTTGTGTGGTGGGAAGAGAACACACCTATTTTTGGCAGTTTGTGCAGTCAAAATAGCCAGGTAGGTAGCAAGGCTTCTGTAGCTGTTAATTCCGTATTTCTTTCTTTTCTTCAGTTTCAAGAAAGAAATATCAAACACTCATACACATAAACTGTGTATGTATTTCTTTATTTTACTTAACAAAATCCAAACCCCAAATGCCTTTGACAGTTTAATAAGTCAGAAATGTGTGAGCTGTGCTTAAATCAACTGGGTTTTAGAAGGAAAACGAAACCATTGGTGGTTCGAGAGGATGAAGAAAGAGGTGTGTGCTCCGTGTTCCCGGGGCATGTTGCCTCCATAGTGAGAGAGCTGCATAATGCGTCTTTCCCTCTCCCGGTAAACTACATGTGAGGAGAGGGCACGTTATGAAAGGCTGTGCCCTTCCTTGCTTATTGGAGATGGACTCTAGGTGAAAAAAATCGCTTTAGGCCCCCAACTTGAGAATATGGTGTAGTTTTGCGAGTATAATCTTGTATTTTTAATGTGTGCCACCTACTTCCTAGTATATTTTCTTAAATCTAAATTGACAGCTGAGGATGCATCAGAAACTGTCAGTACTATATTTTATTTTTAAAAATATTATATATAGAAACTTTTTTTCTGGAATAGTACACTAGTGTAATATAACTTTTTCTTTTGTTTTTGATGTGTAAAACTAGCATTCTCCCAATTCAGTGATTGGTGTGCCCATTTATTGTAACTGGATACCTACATAATACCCATGTGAGATATTTTATGTCCCTTACCTTGTTACTTAAAATGCTGAGGAACGTTTTGTTGCAGAAGAAATGACAGCAGAAATTAACTATAAACTTACAGAATATGGCATTTACATAGAGATGAATACATGTAGATTTAAACATAAAAAGGACTCTGATTATCCAAATCATATTGCAAACTCAGTTTTATCATCCAATCCCAGAGCTATTAGAATATACAGTATATGTTTTTGTGCTATTCATTTAAAAAGACTTGAACTTTTTTTTTCCTTCCATAAATCCAAAGCATTTTAATCACTGACTCTATCCCACACTCCACCAAGCATTGTGACATAAAATGAATCAGAGATGGGTAACAAACACA